CAATTAAAATGAGAAACCTACTCGAGGAGTTTCATGGAAAACATGGAATTCGACGTCCTACGATTTTGGGGGTTAGAGAGCATGTTTTCACGGGAAGGTTCGCAGTTCTCTCCTTGAAATATTAATTTATGTTATCATATGTTTTATTTTTAATCACCTTTTACATGGATGTTAAATTGATATTGCAGTGTCTCATCACTGGCATGGTTTATGTCCAATCAAGAAACCAGTTTTGTGACTTTGGGTCAGCGTGTCTTAGCCTATCCACTTAAGTGAGTATTCTTGCTTCAGATTATAACTTGCACAACAGGGTTATAACCTACATTTCATTTTGATTTTGATTTATTTATTATGGAGCTTGTTTCATGTTTTAGCATTCTTTTCATTTGCTTGCAATTACTTGATAAATGAGTTTTTCACTCGCTTTCCGGTTTATTGGATTGTTTTTATTTAGTCTATAACCAATTTGTTCAACACTAATCTTACAGAGTTCGAATGCACTATGGGCATCCAGATGTGTTCGATAGAATATTTCACATAACTCGTGGTGGAATCAGCAAAGCATCCCGTGTTATTAACATCAGTGAAGATATATATGCTGGTATGTTTAGTAGATGGGCTATTTTTGATAAACTTAATAATTTTTTGTTGCAGTATATATATATATTTTTAAACATTCTTGATTGGTGTTTACATCAGTGTAACAGTCTCAATGTTCTCATTTTTAATAGAGTTTAACTCTGTAATATCTTTGGACATGATATGTTCTTTAAAAGGCTGAGCTTTTTACCTATAAACAATGACAATATTTGCAGGATTTAACTCGACACTCAGGCAGGGGAATATCACCCACCATGAGTATATTCAGGTCAATGATTGCTTGCATTATTTGTTTCTTCACTTAGCTTTTATCTCATATCGATCTGAGTACATGATCCATTTCTTTCATGTAGGTTGGTAAAGGAAGAGATGTAGGACTCAACCAGATTGCCCTATTTGAAGGGAAAGTAGCAGGTGGAAATGGAGAACAGGTTCTTAGCAGGGATGTCTACAGAATTGGGCAGCTGTTTGACTTTTTTAGAATGATGTCGTTCTACTTCACAACAGTTGGTTTCTATGTCTGCACGATGGTACTTTTCATTCTCTTGTTTTTTGTAAGTTTGTTTCCCCCCATTATCACTTGTAGTAAAATATTTCGTTGATGCAGATGACCGTCCTTACTGTGTACGTCTTTTTGTATGGAAGAGTTTACCTGGTATGTTATGAAGCCTTCTATTTTTTCTTTTTATCAGTTTTCTTCATTACAAAATGATGGGTAGTTTTTGCTCCAAAATGATGATGGATAGTAGTTGCTCTCTAAAACGTGTAGATTAGTGTTGCTTACTGCAGTTTTTTAAGTACAACCACATATTATTTTAGAACTAGAACTAGAAATATATCTTAGGGCAACATGGTTTCGTAGTATTTGACCCCACTTTTTGAATATCAAAAGCATATTGCACTATACAATTGGGCATCGAACTTTGGTTGATTGACCTTTTGACATGGTTAACATTTTTTGGAAAAGCATTGTTGCATTATTATTCTTTCAATTTGGTTAAATTATGCGCTTTGTTTTTTCTAATATCTATTGTCTTTTTATTTTTTAAGTCAGTTCCCTTGCCTCCTTTGATATAATTTTTTTTTGGTCTTTCCTCAGGCCTTTTCTGGTGCTGATCGTGCAATTTCAAGAGTAGCCAAACTGTCAGGTAACACTGCGTTGGATGCTGCTCTAAATGCACAGTTTCTGGTCCAGATTGGAGTCTTTACAGCCGTCCCTATGGTTATGGGTTTCATACTTGAACTTGGGTTGCTGAAGGTTGGTTGATCTATTCTCTCTGGTTCCTTTTGGACCAAATTGTTATGCTTACTGTTCATGTCTTTTTTTTTACTTCTATGATACATATTTTCTTTCTTGTTCCTTGTCTCTACACGTTGGACACAAATAGCCTTGAGAAAGCTCATCTACTGAAGTTTTTTTCTTATATCACAGGCTATTTTCAGCTTTATTACTATGCAATTCCAGTTGTGTTCTGTCTTTTTCACATTTTCTCTCGGGACGAGGACTCATTACTTTGGACGTACTATCCTTCATGGTGGTGCAAAGGTATGTATACTTGATTGTATACAAGGCATAAACATTATTGTTCTTTTCTGTCTTTTTTTCTTTAAAACCTTTTTCAAATTTGTGTTGTTTTATAAACAGTATCGAGCAACTGGCAGAGGCTTTGTGGTTCAGCACATCAAGTTTGCCGATAATTACAGACTATATTCTAGAAGTCATTTTGTTAAAGCGTAAGCCCAGATCTTAATCAGTTGCTTGTTATTATCCCATGGCATGATCTTGACTCAAACAGTTGGAATAACAGCTTCTAAAGTCAAATAACATTTATCATGTGGATGATTAGTGAACTGATTTTTGCTGACTAATGAGAGTCTCTTTCGTTGCGCAGTTTTGAAGTAGCTTTACTGTTGATAATATACATTGCTTATGGGTATACGGATGGGGGTGCCTCTTCGTTCGTTTTGCTAACGATCAGCAGTTGGTTCCTTGTAATCTCCTGGTTGTTTGCGCCCTATATCTTTAATCCTTCTGGATTTGAATGGCAAAAGTTAGTACTGTGCTTGTTATTTAGTCTTCATATCATTTCTGTATTCAATTTATTTATGTGGTGCCATAGATGGCACTATATCTTAAATTTTCTTGGATAATGACCTCTAGGACTGTTGAGGATTTTGAAGACTGGGTCAGTTGGCTTATGTACAAAGGTGGAGTTGGGGTAAAGGGAGAGCTCAGTTGGGAGTCGTGGTGGGAGGAAGAACAGGTCTGTCCAATATTTTTGTTTTGATGTATATCTTATTCCATATATGTTAAGTCTTTTTTTGTTTGTTTGTTATTATTTGTGTTTCATTATAGGCGCATATCCAAACATTAAGAGGAAGGATATTGGAGACGATTTTGAGCTTGAGATTTTTCATGTTTCAATATGGCATTGTGTACAAGCTCAATCTCACTAGGAAAGACAATTCACTTGCGGTAATGCTAGCTTTTTATTGTTAAGTTCACTTGAACTGGATATTTGAATTCTTTTTTACATTTGCTTGATTGTGCATTTGCTTTGTAGGAGCTTACTACACTCCATTACATTGCTTCTGCTATTATTGCATGAGTGCCTGACTGAATCCTCTTTTTTGTCTGTTTGCAGCTCTATGGCTACTCTTGGATTGTATTGGTTGTTATTGTGTTCTTGTTTAAGGTGTGTACTAAGATTCATTAGGTTTTTCTCCAGATTTGTTTTTTTATTTATGTAATCCATTCCTCTTTAACTTTTTATCATGTCTCCTTGTTACTTCAGCTTTTCTGGTATAGCCCCAGGAAATCGAGCAACATTCTGCTGGCATTGCGTTTTCTCCAGGGAGTGGCTTCGCTCACATTCATCGCCCTCATCGTTATAGCCATTGCATTAACAGATCTCTCAATTCCAGACATGTTTGCATGTGTCCTTGGTTTTATTCCAACCGGTTGGGCTCTACTGTCTCTAGCCATCACATGGAAACGGGTGCTTAAGATCCTGGGCTTGTGGGAAACGGTCCGTGAGTTTGGGCGTATTTATGATGCTGCAATGGGTATGCTCATATTTTCTCCAGTCGCTCTTCTTTCATGGTTCCCTTTCATCTCCACGTTCCAGTCTCGTCTCCTCTTCAACCAAGCCTTCAGTCGCGGCCTTGAAATATCCATTATCCTCGCCGGAAACAGAGCTAATGTTGAGACCTGATGAAAAAGAAGGGAAGGGGAAAGTTAGTGTGGAAGTAGAAGAAGGATTTAGATATTTTGTTTGTTGGGATGTAAATGAGCTTTGTAGAGTTTGTAGAACGCCATTGAAAGCTCATCAGACTCATGGTTTTTATCTTGTTTGTAATCTTGAGGTACTCTGTTTACACTGTTTATTGTCATAGGTTGAGTAATATTCTGATAACTTGATTTTGGTAAAATTAAGATTTGTTTATTATCTGAAAATCTTTGTTCAAAGCTCCAGTAACTATCTAATGATCTCTTGTTGAGGGACTCTTCTGAGTTCCTGTAACTATCCAATTGAAGATTATATTAGTGAAACTCAGTGGGTGTGACTGTCATGTGTGTGTAATGGTCGTATCGGTACTTTTCATTTGTGCCAATGGGGTTTAAGTTACTTTGGCTCAAACGTAGCACGCGGATTATGTAATTCGTCATTGACCCAAATTGGTTTATATACTGCATTAAAAATTTTAGGTTAACGGTCATCATAATTGATATATAGTCACAAGGAAAAGATCAAGTGGGTTGTTGTATAAGACGTACACAAAAATGACAGATAAACATCTTTGTCTCAGAAAATTTAATACTTTCATGTGGAATTCAGTATTGTGAGGATTCGAAAAGTAAGAGTTTCTTACAAAGTAGTTTTTGGAAAAAGTAAACTGTAAAAGAATTTTAATATTAGTTAACATCTCACATCTCACATCGATCTGGTTTATTAAAAAAAAAAAAAAAAAATACAGTGTTATCACGTTTTCAAATGTAATTGGGTAGGACTTGTCATTTGGCTTTAAATCTCCTATAGCCCTCACTTTTAGGAGTAGACTGACTGGTAAACGATTCTGACTAATTAAATACAATATTGTAACATACGAAATTGCTCTTCACCAATAATTCTGAATGGAAGAACAAAAGCTCATTACTACTGATCAAATAAATTCATAATTAACGAATTAAGCTTTAATTCCGATTTGATTTTTGAATTACTAGTATCTAAATCATACTAATTCACACCATGAATATATTTCAGCTACAAAACCAACCACCATTATATATTGCTTTAATTTTTCCTTAAATTTAAAATAAATATAAATGGAATGAGTAGGTTCTTATCATAACTTCTAAAACGAGAAAGAAATCACAATCAGAGCTTAAAAAGGGGTAATCACACAAAACATGGTTTCAAGTACAACTACACGACGAACAAGTTAAGCTCGACACCTTTGAATCTCTGACTCTCTCTCTCTCTCTCTCTCTCTCTCTCACATGCAATAAAATCCAGCTACAAACATCACGGAAGCACAATAAAAATCAAGGAAAACCTTTTAAGGGAGAAGAAGAAGAAGATGGGTATTTTGTCGGATGATGTTGTGATAATCAGTCAATCGGAGAAAGAAGGTGACCCGAGTGTTATCACCATCAATTGTCCTGACAAAACTGGTCTTGGTTGTGATCTCTGTCGTATCCTCCTCTTCTTCGGCCTCAACATTGTCAGAGGAGGTAAATATATTCCATCGTCACACTTTGCTTTAAAGGTTTCATTTTGTTTCATCTTCTAACTCTGGTTTGTGACCTGAATATGTTCGATTAAATTCCCCTGTGAAGATGTATCGACTGATGGGAAATGGTGTTACTTGGTCTTCTGGGTGATTGGCAAACCAAATACGAGATGGAATTTGTTGAAGATGAGACTTGTTGAGGCAAGCCCTTCTTTTTCTTGGGCCTTTGGTATCTCAAGATGTTACCTTTCTGATTCTGAGTCTCAGCCTCCCAAGCTTCCTGATCTTTTCCTATTGAAGCTAGCTTGTTCTGACCGCACAGGGCTTCTATATGGTTAGTAAAGTTAGTTTCTTTTGGGTTCTTGATTCTCTAGATTTTAGTTTGCTGTGGCCTCACTGTTTCTATATTGCCAGATGTCACGGAGATTCTTTACAAGCTTGAGATTAACATTGAGAAAGTTAAGATATCCACTACACCTGATGGAAAGGTGATGGACTTGTTCTTTGTCACTGACACTAGGTATGTAGAATGCAAATCTTACAAATATATTTTGGGTATTCATCATAGAATGTTTAAGTTAGGTGTGTTCTGTTTTTGTTTTTGTCAGAGAACTTTTAGGGACAGTGAAGAGGCGGGACGAAGTTTATGAGTACCTGAGAGACGCCATAGGAGAATCACTGATCAGCTATGATATTGAACTTGTTGGCCCAGAGATCGCAGCTCGCTCGCAGGCTTCCTCATCGGTTGCAGAAACATTGTTCTCTTCAGATGTGTCCGGAGAGCAGCTGAGTGGGTTACACACTTCAAGCAATGTGTCTATTGCAGTTGACAACTCGCTAAGCCTAGTTCACACCCTCATTCATATCACTTGTCAAGATCACAAAGGCCTTCTCTATGATATTATGAGGACCTTCAAGGATTTCAACATTCAGGTTTGTGCAAAGTCTTTGATGGTTTATCTGCATTAGTTAAACCTTGCCACTGCTACTCACATAAGACACGTTTTCTCAAATCTTGTTTGATGACCAGATCTCATATGGGCGTTTTACAATCAAAAGAGGAAGGAACTGTGAGATCGACTTGTTCATCGTCCAATCTGATGGTCGGAAGATTCTTGACTCAAGTAAGCTAAATGCATTGATTTTTCGTTTAAGAGCAGAGCTACAACAACCTCTGAGAGTGGTCATGATGAACCGAGGTCCAGATACTGAACTTCTAGTCACAAACCCTGTTGAGTTATCGGGAAAGGGACGGCCACAAGTCTTCCACGACATAGCACTTGCCCTCAAGAAGATCAATACCTGCATCTTCTCGGTATATACTATATAACTCATCCAATCACATAATTACTAGTCATACCAAAAAAAAACATATAACTTTTCATCATCTAAATGTCCATTGATATGATATGTCTTTACTAGGCTGAAATTGGAAGACACGTGATGGGAGAAAGAGAATGGGAGGTGTACAAAGTGTTGATCAACGAAGAAGAGAGCTTACCATTCCAGAAAAGCAAGATAGAGGAACAAGTGTGGACTACTTTAATGGGTTGGGAGTAAAAAAAAAATGCTTCAGACTTCAGGATCATCAACTAACCTCAGACTCTATGATTTACATTATGATGCAATGAGTGTATGTAGTTTAAGATGATATGAGCTGATATATATATCTGATAAACTGGGTTTGAGTATGCTTTTTTTATGTTGATAAAATAGAGAGATTGTAAGTAGACAAAAGAAGAATGTTGTAAATGAGTGTGTGGTTTGATAGGAAGAAAGAAGTTAAGCTTACGCTAAGTTTTGTTCTTTCTGTTTTGTGCTGAGGAAGTTAAATGGGCCGAGTTAAAAAGGCCTAAATAGTGAGGGTGGCTGTTTCGTAATTAAAGACTTAATGGAAGGGTAAGAAAGTGAAGGAGAAACCTATGAAAAAATGGCGACTCTTTAAGAAGCACACGAAGACAATCCGAAAGCTGACCACAAAGTTTTCGACTTTGCAATTAGATAAAATCTTTTCTATCCATTTCACACACAAAAATTAAGGGCTCTCTCAATTTCAAAATTCAGCTTTCAGTGTTAGTTATCCTGAGAAAAAGACAAAATCTAATCTTTAATGGCGAAGAAAGGAGGAGCGACGTTAGCTGAGGATGCACCATGGCGAGTTTCTTCAGTAAGACCATTGCCTAAGATCAGTCGCTCACCGGTTCTTTCCATTTCTCAAAGCCCAGAAACCGATTACGCCATTTCTGTCATGAAGGTTTTTTTTTTATTTGTTTGTTCCTTTTCGTAGTTTTAAAGATTGCAATTTGATTTTGGGAATTACCATTTTTTATTTTAAAAAAATCTGGTTTGCGTGTAATGGTTTGCAGCATCCGAATCCTGTGGGAGGTGGGTTTGCGATGGAAGCTGTACTTGAATCTGCAGGACCCGAATGCGTTGTTCCTGGCCAAGTTACACCTCTTCGGCTCCTTGGTGTTAAGGTTACTTCTTCAGATATTACTGCATAAGTTTGATTTTTTAATGATGTTTTGAGTATTGGAATGTGAAAAGAATGATGATAAGGTATATGTGTTGTTCTTGCATGTGTGTAGTGGTATTTTTTAGTATTCAAATTAGCTTAGGATTCATACAGGGAAAGGTTTATGTGTATCATCTTATGTTGTCTTCCCATTGATTTTATCCACTCATGGGTCTTATTAGGTTTCATTTTGCTAACAGTTTCATGTTTGGTGTATTTGAATAGGTGTGGCCAGTTGAAGTTGATCTTAAATTCTTGGAACCAGTGGGAAAAGAGCTGAAAATGCTTGGAAAGGTAAAAGACCAACATCTTATTACTTTGTGTCTAAATCAGATGTATCCAATAGTAAATGATCCCCTGTTAGTATGAGCCAATACCTTGTATGATCCTGTTTCGTTCTCTGTGTTTGATTGAGGCAATAATTTGAAATCTTTAGAGCTCTTGTTTGCTTGAGGCTAGTTTGTTACGTGAAGTTATTATAAGTGGGGATTAAGTTATTGTTTCCTATAGCTCATCGCATATCAAGATCATAGATGGTCATCTCTTTTTTGGGTAAGCTGGTTACTTAGGAAAAAGCCTAAAGTAATTATGTGGCTCAACAAGTGGCAAGTAGTGGCAGTTGAACTCTGGGAGCATTTTTGGTCTAGCTACTTTGTTCTAACCGAGAAACCTGCAGTCTAATTAGGTGGATAGATTGCCATCTTCACACAAACAATTAATGTCAGAAAGTATGGGTTAGACCAGGATTTTGATTCAGAAATGGGAAAAATTTATCATAATTAGTAATGAAATGGTTTCAGGACATAGAATGAAAGCATTGGTTAACTATCTTAACAGAAGCACATATACGTAATACTCAGTTTTGATAGATGTTAAGATTACAATTGATGTTTTAAATCATATTTGGCTGTAATTTAACACTTGGTATCTCTGTTGTTCTGAAAATGCAGTTCATGGACAACGCTGTCGAGCTGATGAATAAGTCCTTCATTGACCGTTAAGCAATATAGATAACAGGTCATATACTTGTCATGGTTTTACGTCTGGAGTTTTGGAATTGCGGGAGATCTATCTAGTGCCGGAATCTATTGGAGGCAGAGAGATCCAATATGAACAAAGTTGAATGTGGTGTGTGTGTGTTTGTATAGAGAATTTTTACAAACAGAATCAATATGCTATCAAATCATTGGTTTGAATGATAATTTTAAGAATGTCTTTAAAGGTTATATCTAAAGTTCTCCAAGTTTTCTGTCATTCCTTGTCGAAAAGAATGATAGAATATTTTCGCTAAAACTGTTACTTAATATCATTTGTTAATATCATTAAGTAATGAAATGTTTGACTTTTACATATAAAAGCCTTTACTTTAAATCCTTGGCGAAAAAGGAAAACAAGGAGATAAAGAACAGGAAATCACAAAACATAGTGAGATCATATGAGGCAAAGCTGCATCAAATTTTGGAACTGCTTCCGAAGAAGCTTTGCTGAATGATAGAATATTGCAAAAGCTACTAGTTTGCTAGAGATACATACATTACTAGTAACGAAGATTTAAAAGCTCAGCTTTCATACGGTTTGTAATCTCTCTTCATTGGAATAAGTTTGATTTGGAAAGGCATTTGACATGAACATCGGAAACTTGTCAAAGTACGTAACTGTGTGTGTCGTTCCACCTGAATAATATGGTTTAAGAACATGTAAATGTTATTGACAAATGACGTTATCGTTGGAATGAAGAGAAAGAAGCAAAACTTAAAATAATGTTAGGCACCGCCCCATTTGTATTCGAAAAGTGAACACATTGTCTCTCCACAAACCCAACAACGTGTGTAACTAGTTTTTTACTTTTAATAAACGTATAGAGTTTTAAAACTTAAATCAACACTAAACCTTTAATGAGAATTGTTAAAAATGTATTAAGGAATTCTCATCACTACTAACAACTTAATCACTTGGTTTAAGTAGTCAAGTTTGCTCATATCTTTGGAAGAAAAGAAAAAAAGAAACTACACTAAACCTTTAATGAGAATGTTTAATAATATATCTTAAGGTATTGTCCTCAATACAACAACTTGATTACTAAGTTTAAGTAGTCAAGTTTGCTCATACTATCATAGTTCAACAAAAAAATCGTGAAACAAAACTACTATTTCCTTGAAGGCTTGGAAATACGAATTGTGAAGGCATAAAGAAGAAAATATAATGATGAAGATCTGTGGACAATGGGACCTAAACAAGATCAATCATTTATGCAAAGGTCACCTCAGCTATTTTTACTTTTTTAGCCGATAGCGACCAGCTGTCCTCTTTTACGTTCGATTTTTTTCAATCACTTTTGATTGTTTTTTGGCTTTGTCCCTCGTGCGAATCTATGTATCCCCGGCCCATATTGTTTTTATTGATGACAATTTTAACGTTTAAGACATAATAAGTGCTATATTTTCATCTTAACAAATAGCAGAGAGATCAGAAAAGGATCATGCCAACAAGTTTGATCTCATTGCTTCGGGATAGAGAACAAGTTAACAGAGTAAAATCAAAAACTATATATTAGAGTTTTAGTGCAACTTGCTAGCTAGTTGTCTCTTTAACTCAAATACGAAGCGGGTTAGATGTTGTTCAACCTTCACTTGAGATTTGAAGATTTCGATTATGCGTGTAACCGTGTATGTATAAGCAAAGTTGGTGTTTTAGTTCATGTGGCCGACCTCTTCTTGACTTCTTGTGAGAGCCATATGACTGATAAGGTATGGTATGAGTTATGAGTGTACTCTTATTATACTATTCTCTCAGCAAAAAGTTGATGACAAATTATAAATTTCTAGGGAAAAGGGAAAGAGAAACAGAAAATTAGGTGAAAGTTTCCAAAATCGCACATGGGTACTTACTTTGGCTGGGGTGGTGAATATTTATTTATGGAACATTATTTCTAGATTGATATGCTATCTTTCTTAGACCAAAATGAAACCACAAACTGAATCTTAATGGCCTATTTTAATCTCAGTTACATTTTAATCTAATTATAGAATATGTTGATGACATTGTAAATATATATACTCAACATTCCACACAAATGTAACGAACCATGCATACATACTCAACATTCAATTGAACCAGTGTACAATTCTGCTTGTGGACCAAAATTTCGAACTGTTCTTGATTTGTAGAAGAAAGAAAAGAAGGGAATAGTAAGGAAGAGTCTAAGAATTGGAGCTGGCGTGTTCACGTGCTTCTGCACATCCGTATTCATTTGGCAAAAATATTTTGAATTTATAATGCCAAACCAAAAAGAATTAGAATTATGGAACGTAGAATATTGACGACAAAGACACCGAAAGGCCCCTATAACAATACTCCCCGCCCAACATATCGGAACAGAAACGAACACACAAGCCGGATGTAAAACACACGTACGCACCTCATCGGATCATGGCTTGGTTTGGTCGGACCAGTGATATCATATAGCATAAGAAAAACAACAGTAACAAGTGTTTCATATATAGATCGTACTTCTCATCATTGTTAATGTTTTCTTCTTATCTAATTATCTAATTAGTGCAAACATGCATTTACGTCCTTTTTGTTTTGGGAACATTGGTAATTTGGTTTATACATAGATTAAAACTTTGATACATCAATTTTTTTTTTCTTTTTGTGGTACTTTGAGAAACTTGTTGACCATTAACATTGGGTATGATTGAGATCTACGTTTGCAAAACAATAATAGTGCATAAAATAAGTAAAATTATCTTCTCTTAGGCTTTTATTTTTATAATTCACACCTTTTACAAATTGAAAATACACATTGACAGATAACTACAAAAGCCGTAGTCACTACTATCTTCACTGACTGACCCTACAATTTCATTTCACTCCCTTATTGCAAAACGCCAAGATCAACCACAACTTTCAATTTCATTTTTACATACATATATGATTTTTTTAAAAGACATTAAAAGATAAAAACTTGTAACAAAGTTTCTCTAGATAGTATAGCTTTAGCACCAAAATAGTTATATATATGTAGCCATATATGATAAGTTAAGATAACCACTCTATATATATAGTACTCATAATTGACATAATTCAGTATGTTACCATATCACTAATTTTAAATATATGAACTACTCTATGTCTCCATCAACATAGTCTCTGTATTTAAAATTTTAATGTCTATTAAAATTGATGTGGAAAATTAAAAATTTGGAAAAATGGCACAAAGAAAACTTCGACACTTGAAAACTTAAGATGAGATAGATACATAATTCACATTATAGTAGTTGCAATTACCACTCTTGAAATCAACGGACAAGGATTCATCTAGAAGATCCAACGTTCATAAACCCCTTGATGATTCGAAATTACACAAACAGAGAAAAAACAAGAACATTAAAAATTCAAAGACGAATAAAATTACACAAGAGAGAAAAAGAGAGATTAATTCAGTAGTCGGTGGTTGGGAGCTGTTCGTGGGTAGTGTTGATGAAGAAAATCTCGTAGATGAGTCCGGCGATTCCACCGCCGACGAGAGGTCCGGCCCAGTAGACCCAGTGGTTGGTCCACGTCCAGCTCACCACCGCTGGTCCGAAAGCCACGGCGGGGTTCATGGAGGCTCCGGAGAATGCTCCTCCAGCCAAGATGTTGGCTCCAACTATGAAACCGATTGCGATTGGAGCGATTGTTCCAAGACTCCCGTTTTTGGGGTCAATGGCTGTGGCGTAGACGGTGTAGACAAGCCCGAACGTCATCACGATCTCGAAAACGAAAGCGTTCAACACTCCTACTCCGGCAGAGAGACCAAAAGCTGGCACAGCCTAAAAATTTCAAAAAAAAATAATTAGTTACTTGACGGAGAAGTTAGGTCAAAAAGACATTAAACATTTCTACTGAAGATATAATCTGACATACCAAGCCGCCGGTGGCGAATTTGAGGATGAGACAAGCGACGACTGAGCCGAGGAGCTGAGCGATCCAGTAAAGGATACCACGGAGGAGAGTGATGTTACCACCAACGAAAGCACCGAAAGTGACGGCAGGGTTAACGTGTCCACCGGAGATGTTAGCACCAACGGAGACAGCTACGAAAAGTCCAAAGGCATGAGCCAGTGCAGCAGCTACAAGACCAGAAGGAGTGGTGGCTCCGTTTTCAGTGAGCTTGTTGAAGGCCATGCCAGAGCCTGAACCGGCGACGACAAAGATCAAAGTTGAAATGAACTCAGCCAACGCCGCCTTTAAGGCGTCGGGACGGGTTGCCTCATCTGGACGGCCAACGGCGATGTTTCTGATCGGCATGATCGGACGGCTGAGGTTTAATCGTCTTGACTCTAGATGTTTAGAAGAGTGGGAGAGATTGTGTTCTCTCTGGTCTAACTCTATGCTCTTACTTATATCTGAGGTGGCGCCATTTTTGTGACCTGTTACCGGATGAGAAGTTATTTAGAAATAATAAAATGGATTATTTATTTTGTTGAAAATTACGTGATTGGAGCGGTTGGAGATTTAAAATTTGTTTTAAATAAATATGGGAACAGGCTAAACAAGTACATCGCTATGATTCCAGCGAAGCGGAACCGACCAATCTACGTGGCGGATAATGACTTGTCATGTTTGTACATGTATTGAGCTTTTGTCCTTTTTTCATATTCTCTCTCTCGAATGATCTTAGACGAAATATACTAGTGATCATTTTCAAAAGAAGTTTATTACTTAATTAGTTGTAAATACTCTACTCAACTATTAGATAAAATCATAAAAAAGGTAAATAAACAAACTCTTTAAAGAGAGAATACAAATCAAGCTCCAAAAACAAAAATTATAAACCAAAGGTGGTTACTAAAAATATTTCATATCTATTTGTTTCTTCCTTGTTTTAACTGCTTTCTTTGTTACATTGTCGTTGTTTTACCCTTGGGGTTGGGGGTCTTTGTACTTTGAACATAAATAATTCTGTGTAGAAATGATAAGTCACGACTTAATTTTATGAATTTGATATTCGTGGTGACATTACATGCTAACCATATTATAATGGAATTATATTTAAAGTATATTATCGTTAAGTGGAATTATATATACACATAAATGATAGTCATGCCAAATCATCCATCCGCTTTATCGTTCTTCCAATTCTCAATTATAAGACGAATAAATATTCTATGATTATCATTTTTTGTCTTCATAAATATTGTTTATGGAACCAAATTCTAACATTCCAGACAATCTCACCGTTTTTTTCACATATCATACAAATAGATAATATATTTATTTGGCATTTGTTTTTTTAATGTTGTAGACTAATAATATATTATTAGACAAAAAGTATTGTGTGACGGCCCTCCACTTAAGGAAAAAAAACCATTTATGAATGTCCTACCACCACGATGCAAACCGTCCCTTTTGGGTGGTTTAGGTTTATTATTCGGCTGAAAGGTACTGCTAGAAAGTAATTATTTTTCATTTTCAAAAAAATGCAATAGTATTTGTTTAAAACAAGAACAATATAATTTTGATAGTGTGGTAATTTTCTCTTACAATTATATAGCTTTGAAAAAAGAAGTTTAAAACCAATTCGAAGTTTTCTTAACAGTTGGAATTTTAAAAAATTGTATTTATGTGAAAAAGAGCCCGCTGGTTTATATAAATTGGAAGGGTTTAAAATGATTAATTGTCTTATTTGTAACACATATATAAAACAATTATGAGTCGTACGTATGTGTGTGTTTAGAGAGAATTATAATACGAAAACCAAAACACAAAAAAACTACAGAAAAGTCCCATCACATAACACGGGACGAAGTTGTCTCTTTTTAAAAATGAATCGTGGCATGTGAATGATAAACATATATGTGAAACTTTTTCTTTCATGTGTAAAAGTCATGTGATTTTAGAATATCCTAGATCGGGCCATCGGGATGGATTATATATTGTTAGGTAGATCCACTGTTTTTGGGTGGAACGCAGTAATGAATATTAATGGTGCATGCACGTCAAATGGCATGCGAACGTTCTAGTCTTTCTAGTGATTGAATGTTCCAGTAGTGTATTTTACCATGTCACATGTACGTGCATACTTCTCGAAAATATAGTAGCCACAGTCAGGGCCGGTCCTAGCCGATAGGTGGCTTAAATCATATTAGAAAAATGTGGCCTTCTTATATAAATGTATTGATGATAAAAGATTAATATTAAAACATCCGAAAAGTACTAAAAATATTACATATAATTGATGCAGAAAGTCATTAAAATTTTAAAGATCTAATTTTATTTTTGCTAACAAAAATAAAACTTTCTAATTTTCTATATGAAATTAAAGAAATTTTTAGAAAAGAAAATAAAAATATTTAAGGGATGAAGAGATATAGAAAGATATTAACCAAAAATAAAGAAAAATATAAAAATTGCCTAGCATAGGACTCGAACAATGGCGCTAGCAAGATTAGAAACCTCATCCAAACTACTGAACCAACAACTAATTCTCAAATATGTAGACTTAAAATTTATATATATATTATGTGGCATAAAGCCTCTGCTTTAGTTGTCTTATGGAAGGGTCGGCCCTGGCCACAGTAGTATCTCCTAAACACTAGTAAATGAACATTCGAGACAATCTCACGATTTTAATTTCCTTTCTGATTTCCCCCCGACAAATTCGAACCTTTAATTTTTTGAAATGAAGCACTTTTGGACCCTTTACCTTACCATTATAACCAATTAAGATTTATGTTGAAAGAGCCAATCTTATACGTAGACATAACTAAAGTCGGTCATTTTTGTTTATGAAAGATACTGATTTGAACGTTTGGATCATATTTATTTACATAGAACCACAATGTATAATGCCATATGGTAGGATAGCCATAAGAACATACTAGTTTTGATTTCAATTTTTGCAGTGTATTACTTTTAAGTTTTTTTTAATAAAAATTTCAACAATAAAATATATATATTGAACACTTTAATATAGATATATAAAAACGAAATTATTTTTGTTCAATGCTTAAGCAAGGAATCAAAAGTTAACTAAGAGTCTAAGACATCATCATCTTACCAAAACTAATTTTTTTTTTATCGTTAAATATGAAAATGATTAGGTTTGGTGAGCTTGGGCATATTCTCTCCCTCTCTCTCTTTATTTCTCAAGTTTGTGAATTGTGGCTTGTGGGGCTGTGGTCGGTGTACTATTATATTCAAATGCTCTAGATTAAATCATTGTTAAGTTTATCGTTAAATAAATAACATAAATCATATATTTTAAAAATGTAACATATTGTTATTGGGTCACGACTCACGAATCTGTATATATGATCAATATAAGAAAAATAAAATGTTTCAGGTTTCTAGATTGTTTTCACATATCAAAGATATAATTAAATTAAGAGGATTCATTAAAAATGTATGGTTTTTGGATCTGATATGTAGGTTTTTCTCACTATTATACGTCGTTGCTATATTGTGTTATTTGCTATAGTTTCAAAGTTTATCTATTTTAACTTTTACAAACAAAAAGATAGAGAGTATATATACAGTTTCTTTTAGATTTCGCATTGGCTACGTAGTATATAATTTTTAATATGCTTGGTTAAAACGATAGTTTATTAGTATTTAATTTAAACTGAACTTTATTTTTAGACCAATCTGAATTTTCATCTTTCAAAATTAATAAAAAACAGAGTAGTTTTTGTCTACTAGAGCCAAAATAGTCCAGTCTACAAAAAAAGAAAGAGAAAAAAACAACAATAAATATTTTTAAAATACGATCGTTAAGTCGGCGAACTACAATTCACACCGCCCAATCTATTTATCCGGCCGGCCAATAAGAAAACAAGAGTTTGTTTTGTTTAAACTAAGGAAAAAGACATCACAATATTATTGTTGACGTAAATAATTTTTTTTCTGACGACTTAAAAAAGATTTGAATGAGTTTTATGAGCGGAATCATTGAAGAATGTATGCAAATTTATTTGATTTCTCAAGGCGAACATAATATAATTACGTTGACTAATTAAGATATTATAGAATACTGGATCCAAATGAATTAAATCATTAACCACAAGTTTATTTCATTTCACTTAAAAAACTTACATATACAGTAGTTAAATAACTAGATTTGATTATGTTAAAGAGTAATCAAGGAGAAAAAAATAAGGGAATAATTAGGAGGAAATTTATATACCCCAATATATAAATTTCCGGCAGTCCATATTATACTGTTACAATAAACTTTACAACACAAAATTGTTTATGAAAAAGTTATGATATACTAAATATCGAGGTCGTGGCATTTGTAATTGTCTCAGTAACGAGGAACTATGGTGTGGTACATATGTTACATTCTTTCGCAATACTGTATGTAGTTTCTCGAAAACATGCCACCATAAAGTGAAGAGATATCAAATCCGTGAGCTACGTACCAACTAGGCAGGAATTAGGTTCTTCAAAAACGAACTATATGTATATAACTTCACATACGGTAACACTTTTTTTTTTTTTTTGCTCATTTACATTCTGCTAACTTCATTCATGTTCGACATTGTCATCTCAAGATGCTATAAGAAGCTTAACTATACAAAACTGAAAGAAATTTTTGTTTAGGAAGTAAATTCAAAATCGAAGTCAGAAAGTGGAAACATCATCCACGAACTAACGCATACGAAATAGAGATTACCGGCAAAAACGACTCAAAAACAAAATTAACAAAGAGAAATAAGTATTTAAAACCACTAAACGTACAAGACACTAAAACCAGCCAAAGTTATACAACTTGACACTTTTTAAGATATAACACCAGTGAAAGCCTTATAACTGTCACTTCTGTTTTCCCCGGCCAAACTTTGATTAGTTTATCGTCTGTAACGATGTCGTTTAAAATTGAAGTACAAATGCAGAATCCCATGCTCAAACGTGTATTTGTAACCTTTCTTATGAGATTTCTCCCATTCGTTATTCACAATCCGGAACGCAATGTCTTCATAAGGCGGACCAGCTTCAAACCGGATTATACAAGTTTCAGAGCTTGTCCCATCTTTCTCTATAGTACAAGTGGGAACCTTAGTCTTGTCTACTAAATCCGGATAGAAGATGTTAAACTTGTACCCTTGAACAAATTTTGGAGGCGGGTTATTGTGATCATAGTGTGTTTGGTTATACTTATTCCACTCGTAACCCGTGTGAACTCGGTTGAAATACTTGGGTTTTCTTGGCCGGTACTTGTCATGCCACTTGTATACCTTGGAATCAAGATTCACTTCAGCGTTCGATCCAAATAAAACATCACCTTCCTCCGTTTCTCCCATTGTTTTCATTGCCTTAAGCTCCAAGTTATCTTCTACATTTGCTGTATTTGAGTTCATTGCTTCTCTAAGCCGCTTCTTCCTCTGTTCCTTCAACACAACCATCCGTTCCATCTCTAGTAGAGTCTTGTCTTCATCAGGATCGATGGTTTCTTCACTATCATCACCGTGAAAGAGCTCTGGTGAGAATGAGCCAGCCTCTTGTGGTGAGAATGTTTCTTCATCATCTGAAAGATTCATCATGTCGTTAACCTCATCCTCATTCTCTCCCAACACACGATTTTCTTGTACATCTGAAAGTTGCTCGAGGCGGTGTTGATGTCTCCTGAGTATCTCAGAGTTTATTTCCTTCAAGCAAGCCTTTGCCTTGTATATATCTAGGCGTTCAAGAACCGCTTCCCAATACTCCACTACTTTGGCTGCTCCAGAACGCAGCTGCGATTCTATGTCAAACTGAAGTTGTACAAGCTCCTCGTGGGTCTTCCCAACAAGAAGTTTCCTCACATCAGCTTCAACACCAGCGTGTAGTCGTCTTTCTTGAGCAACAAGCAATTCCTTCTCCTCCCTAATTCTTGCTCGGTCAGGGGCATCCCTTTTACGAGCTTCTCCTAACTCCCAATCACATATCACGCTAAGCGCCTCCCAATACTGTACCCGTGTTGGAGTTGCTCGGTCCCAATCCAAGTACATTTTGATATCATCACGAAGCTCTTCCATATCTTTAACGTCAAGTCCTTTGAAAACCATGTAAGGTTCACTAAGCTCGATATTCATATCACCTGAATCATCCACATACTTGTAGAGGACGTCTATTGGCTTGGCTCGACCTTTATCTAATCTAATCGCTGACCTCATCTTGCTTTGATAGAAATTGAACTCTTCTTCTTTCTTCTCCCAATATTGAAACTCAGCTCGAGAACGTTCTCTAGCCAATAACGCCATATCTTCCTCATGTCGAGCTTTCTCCACTGCACTCTCCTCTCTCCTCTTCTTAGCCTTTTCAACCTCTGCCATCGTCTCCATAAGTCTTCTCCTCCCAGCTTTAACAGAGAATTCATCCAGAGAAGCTCCATGGTTAACATCTTTTTCAATCTTCTTCCTCCACACGAATGCCTCGGTGAGGTTCGAATCCCCAAAAGGGTTTGAATCATTGGAATAACCTGACACTGACGACTTCTTCAGTTTCTTTGATGCACTTAATGCCTTCTTCAGAGCTCTTTTGGCCATATACTCTCTTATTTCTCCCAATGATGAATTATTGGATTCTCCTCTTTGTTTCTTCTTCTGCCTTCCATGTCCATCTCTCTTGCTCTTACCATGAGAACCCATATTTTTTGTAGTTGGAGACGACGATCTGATGAGATCAGTTGGACGGTGGTGAAAACTTCTCGGCTCCAATAATAATATGGATCGAGTGTTGGAGTTTGTGATTCAAACTGATTTCAGAAGATCGAATTGTGTGTTTGCCCGAGCCTTTACGTATTTTATAGCTAAAAAAAAGTTTAACCTAGTCCAAAGCAAAAACTGAAAAGGGGTACTTAATTTCCAAATTAATATAATTTCCTATTCTACAAGATAATTACCTAATACTCTATTAGTATTACACACGTAATTTTCCTTTTTACTTGTGTAATACTAATAGAGTAATAGGTAATTATCTTGTAGAGTAGGAAATTACATTAATCTGGAAATTAAGTACGAATTAAGTTACACCAATTCAACCTCTCTTTAGATCAATAAATCTACCTATAGAACTTACAACACAAATGTTACATTGCTTGTCATGTCCGGATAACATACAAAATATCAAGAGCTAGCGTGGCTGTTGTCACGGTCTTTGCATAGATTTTGTATCAAGAGCGTGGCTTTAAGTCCTTAAAGTGTTTACAAGAGCGAAGAGGGAACCAAAACGTATAAGGTAGCAGTCTTGGAGAGTTGGGGTAAGGAAGTACGTGAGAGTAGTGACACGATTAGATGATCAAGTCTATAGCCACAACCAATGTAGACACAATTAGGATGATGATCATCATTTTGGTGTATATATGGATCGGATGAACATATCAGTCTTTATAATGGGCAGAGGATTCGCCTAGTGGATCAAGAATTCAAGATCATGATTTTAGCTCTAATAACCATGCAACACTTATTGCACTCCTCCCCCATTCAAAACCATAATTTCACTGTACTCTTTAACCATTAGATAAAATAATTTTTTTAAAAAACTTATACAGTATAGTGGATGTGATTCAATGTACGTTTTAAAAAGAAAAGAACAAAGTGATTCAGAGAGCACCGCTAAATAATTGGGCCAATAATGTGATCATTCTTATCAATCTAATAATTTAAACAATAGAACAAGTGAATGATCCAAAAGCAACGGGCTTGAAACCCGCTATTTTACCCGACCCGTCTTGTCGGGTATGGGTCCATTGTTTTCATATATTTGTTTTCTTCCCCTAAACTTTTTCCTTTTGACATTCAAGTCCCTCCGACAAGAGGCGACGCCAAATTTATAACTACCGAGAGAGCTCTGAGCTCGCTCTTTCTTCTCACCTTTCTCGGTCGGAATCTTCTCTCGTCGGAAAATTCTTGATCGATCACAACGCTCGAGTTTTGGTATATTCCATATTTTGGGTTTTTGAATTAGGTGGAGGAGTTGATCGATTTTGAAATGGCTTCTTCAAGCTTGGGGAGCTCAATCCCTGCACCAGGTAACACAACTTTTTCCTGAATCTTCGATTTTGATTTTTTTTCTAATCTCAAAATTGATCAGTGTATTGGTTGTTTGGTCGAAAACTCTTGAATTGTGTAATTGGGTCTACATTGGTTTTGGCAATAACTATGTTTTTTGATCAAGTCTTCTGATTAGGAAACTAAAGTTTATATTTTTATTTGTTGACAGAGGCTGTTCAACTTCTGGTATCGTCTCTAGCTGATGATTCCTCTGTGGTTAGAGAAGCTTCCATGGCTTCTCTTAGAGATATTGCCTCGCTGTATGTACTATTTATCTCCTTTACTTCATTCACAAGACATGCATAGTGAGTATTAGGAGATCTCTGATACTGCACTGTCGTGTGTTTCTTCCAGGAATCCGCTTCTGGTTCTTGATTGTTGCTATGCTGTGTCTCGTGGAGGACGAAGGGTAACGTTCTGTTTTCTTGTTTTTTTTGTTTCTGTCTCTTTTCATCGTCGTTTGTTTCCTTTTATTGGTGCGTAAGACTGATGCTATCCGGTGTTGCAGCGGTTTGGTAACATGGCTGGGGTTTTTCAAGTGATGGCATTTAGTGTTGGTGCGTTAGAGGAAGGGGAGAGTGATGCAGTTTTCATGGGGAAACTTGCGAAGATTGCTACAGCTGAGATAATATCTTCCAAGGTGTGTTGTGAATGCCTAACCATTCTTAAAGATTTAGTTTTTTACTTTGTATAGTTAGAGATTTACATAGTGCAGCCTGAATTGTAGATGCAGTTTCTGAAAATTAGCATGTTTGAGATGCATAAATGGCACTCTGTGGCTTTTCACTCTTGGAATTTCTGTTTCTATGTCCTTGCTTTTTTCTGTCTACCATCTATGTGTCGTTTACTTCCTCAGATCTAAGAGAGGGGTTGTAAATTTTTCTTATGCGCTGGACAGAAAATGAATCATATGTCGCTCATTCCTGTAGCAGAGGTTACCTAGAAATTTGACCTACAGAATTCAGGATTAAATGATTGAGAAATTCTCATCATACATAAGCAATGTAATCATTTCTATAAAAACAGGGGAAACTAACTGCAATTCTTGAAACTATCTCGCATTTGTTTGTATATATCTCCGGGATCAATTTAGCATCTTTTAATGGGTCATCATAACGTAGGAACTAAATGCTGATTGGCAAAGACAAGCGTCAGGGCTGCTCGTCTCAATTGGAACACACTTTCCTGATCTTGTAAGTCTTTTTTATTTTCCTTTTTCATGTTTGCTAATTCATAGAGGGATTTCTGGACATCTAGAAACCACTGTTTGTTTAGTTTCATGCGGCTGTACATTCCTGAGTTGTTTCGTTTTACTGTTAAGAAAAGGTTGCTGTACCACATGACTGGTGGTCAGATACATTACAACTGGATTACTTCTTGGGGTCTGCATATATGTGGATCTAAGTTTATAGAATGATCAGTATGCTGAAGTAGTTGGTTATCTTTGATATAAGCATGACAAGAAAATGAGTAGCTGATGAGAAAACCATAGTAGAGACTTGTCATCTGTCATCATGTAATATCTACAGCATTTTAGATAGTGTCATGCATAAATTTGGCCCATTGTCTCTCCCCTGTCACTTAATTTTTCTTCACTAAGCTATTTGTTTTTTTTTTTTTTGTTTTAAGTTCAAGTTATTGTTCTTTAGTGTAAATTTCATGTTTAATTGATATCAACAGATGATGGAAGAAATATTTCTTCATCTATCTGGTCCGGCCACAGCTTCCCCTGCTATGGTTCAAATTCTTGCTGACTTTGCCACATCTGATGGTTAATTTCTAACTCTCACCCGAGTCCCCTTTTTATCTTTTGTTTCTCATTTTGAAAAGTATAAGGAAACTGCAGTTCTCTGATATTTTGAATTTCTTTCATATTTCCTTTGAAGCTTTGCAGTTCACTCCACGTCTGAAAGGTGTACTTTCAAGGGTGTTGCCTATTCTTGGGAATGTTCGGGACTTACACCGACCAATATTTGCAAATGGTACAGTGAAAATTTTGTAATCCGTTTCTTTTTAGGAGTGAAAATCTTCTATAGAAAACTACTATTATTTGCCAAATTTTCTCCCTCATCCGATAAGCTGGATTTTTGTTTCCTGTACCTCGTGGTTAGTTGACTCTAATTTGGTATCATAAATGGTCATCAGGTCAGAGTTTGTTTACTTGCTGAAACCAATATGACAATTTAATTCATACTAACAGAAAGTAGGTTATCAACCTGTTGATATGTGCATCTTCGCACTCTCTAAAATGATGGAAGAGATGATCAACCCAAATCATGCAATTTGCATGTCTGCTAATATGAATATCAAATACAAGGAATAGCTTGTCTAATTCAAAAATACCAGCTATCACTTGTGTTATCTTATTTTTGCTTATTGTCTCATATGTTAATTTATTACTTTATGTCTAGCATTTAAGTGCTGGTCTCAGGCAGTGTGGCTATACATCACAGATCTTACCTCAGATTCTCCTCTTGACAGTGATGTCATGTAAGACCACTTTCTTTGTTCTGTTTTATTTCTGCTAGTTTTTGTGTTGAACACACTCAAATTATGGGCTTCATCTGATGCAGGTCATTTCTGAACTCTGTTTTTGAGCTTCTGTTGAGAGTTTGGGCAGTTTCCCGAGATCATAAGGTGAGTTCCTGATCTCTTTTTGCATTATTTGCCAATTTAGGTTTTAATAGTGTCGTGTGTTTCAGTTATAATTGCTCAAGAGAGTACCAGGGTAGTATATGGTTCGTGTTCACAGACTATTATTTCATAACAAAGACAATGAAAACCGTGAGTGTGTAACTTCATTAAGACCAAAGAAAAAAGGAAAGTTTGTTTTCTAGGTTTTTTCCCCCAGTAATGTTTCTTTGATATTCAGGATGTAGAGAGATTAATCTTTGCAAGATTTTGCTAGTCTGTTGTTCACTCGTTCTCCAGACGTGCCTCGTGACTTTAACGTGTGCTGAGTTAGTTGATTATCTTCTGAATAAGGTACGAGTATCTACGGTAGAGGCTCTGGGTCAGATGGTAGGTCTTATCACTCGGACACAGCTGAAATCAGCATTACCAAGGCTTATTCCAGCAATACTTGAACTGTAAGTTCTGTTTTTATTCCATTTTCCGTTTTATTTCAAGCTTTACTTCTCAAAGGCCCAGAGCCTAGTAAATATGCTGTCTGCTTGATATATTGTTCCACAAGTAAAGCTTTGGTAAGTTAGAAAGAAATACGTACCAAGCCATGGGAGGCTTTTCATATAAACTTGGGTTTATTTTCTATTCTAAATGTAGCGATTATTCATTCCTTTCATACCAAATTTCAGGTATAAGAAAGATCATGACGATGCTCTTTTGGCGACATGTAGTCTTCACAGTCTTTTAAATGCCTCATTACTTTCCGAGTCTGGTCCTCCACTGCTTGATTTTGAGGTATGGTGTTTCCATCATTTTTTGCTGCTAAGGTGCCTCATTATTTACAGTCATCTGGCACAGTCTTTTAGATGTGGTATTGGAAGGATAATTTTTTTTTATAAGACAATGATTCAGTTAAGCTTTGTTTCTGGTCAGGACCTCACAATTGTTCTGTCAACACTTCTTCCTGTGAT